GCATCCCTCTCATTTAGCATGTCTAATATCATAAAATCAGCTGGGACATAAGCTCCTCTAATTCCGACCAGAAGGTCGGTGGCTATTCCTTTCACATGGCGTACTGACTAATCAGCTAGTTGCAAATAGATAGAAGTTGGAGCTAATTCAGTGTAGAATAAGTTTTCATAAGTTTCCTTAGACATTATGTTTATACTAGATCCAATATCATAAATTGCATTTTTTAAAGTATGAGGACCAATAGAGCAAGTAATAACAGGACTTCCAGGATCACCTTTCTTAATAGGAACACCCTTCTTAATAGGAACACCCCAACCATCTAAACCGAAATCATACCTTGATGTGACGAGGTTGGCGGTCTCCATGAATTCTTCAGGCTTGCCAGGAATTCATTCCTTTCTCAAAAGATGGGATGGCAGCTGCTAATTGTGCTAATTGGGTTTCTAGCATCTTATTAAAGCTAAGTTGATTCTTTATAGCGGAAGAAAAATTATCCAATTTAGCATTTATGTTTTCCAATATCTTGTCATTAGCATGGAGTTTCTTATTTATACTATTAGTCATTTACCTTGATTATAGACAAGATCTTTAAGGAAAGGATAACTATTAGCTTGATTACTCGGATTGTGAATAATTATTGGAATTATTACCTTCCTAGTTGTTGGAGCGCTGGTTCCATCCTTGATTTTGAGGACGAAAATCATTGTCATTATTGACAAAGTTGAGGTCTTCATGGGTCTCGGGGCAGAAATTGCCTGAATGTCCGGTCTCTCCACAAACTTCACGTCATGTGAGTGTTCATGGCTTGTACAGTTTCTTGGACACTCATTTTCTCGCAATTTTCTAGTCTCTTTGCGAGCATATCTACCTTGGCCGCAAGCATGTCAGCTTCTTTAAGAGAAGCATACCTCGTTTGTGGGGCTATAGTCGTTCATCACTCCATCCTTGGTTAGAAACCATCTTCTCAATCAATGCCTTAGCATCTGTGACATTAACCAAAAAGAATGCTCCTCCTACGGCAGCATCTAAATGGCTCCTATCCAATGGAACTAAGCCATGGTAGAAGTTTTGGATCAAAAGCTAGTCTTCCATACCATGGTGTGGGCATGTGGCGACATACTCTTGCATTCATTCCTAGGCTTCAGAAATTGACTCATTAGCTTGCTGTTGAAAGCTAGAGATTTTATTGCGAAGAGCATTGGTCTTACCCATCGAGAAGAACTTAACTAGAAAAGCGTTGGAACACTTGTCCCATGTATCTACAGCATTGCGATTCGAGTAGAACCATTGTTTCGCTTTTCCCAACAAAGAGAAGGGGAAAAGACAAAGACATATGGCCTCTTGGGTCACTCCCTTAATGGTAAAGGTACTACAGATCTCTAAGAAATGTTGGAGATACGCATTAGCATCTTTGTGGGCTTTACCACAGAAAGACTAGCTTGCACCATCATGATCAATGCGAGCTTGAGCTCAAAGTGAGTGTCCACATTGATGACATCAGGACCAGTGGCTACATTAGCAGCTGAAGGGGCAGAAAACTCACGGATGGCCCTATTGGCCATGACCGTGCTAGGAAGAAAAGAAGGTAACTAAAGAGAAAAAATGAAAAGAAAAAAAAGGTTGCTAAGAAGGAGACCTAGCTAGCAGAACCTAGCGACAGATTAGTAACACGCACTAATCGTCTTCCCCGGTAACAGCGCTAGAAATGCTTGTTGACACTTCTTAATGTCGCTACTAGATTTATGTCCCTAGCAACAGCACCAGAAATGTTTGACGATGGTTCGTATGTGTGTATATAGGAAAGGGGATTCCATTAATGTATAGAACTATCGTGTAGCACTTCACTTGGTGAGTACCAAGTGTCGAATTTATATTTTTCCAAAGGAAGGCGGGAAGACATGTTGGGAACTGTGCTTAGGTAGACTAAGTAAGTATGTCTAGCAACACGGGGATGATGAGGGTAGTATGGATGATGGACGGAAAAAGATAAAAATGGTTTTTGATCACACAGATAGAGGTAATTAAAAGTGTAGTGTAGCTGAGTGTAAGAAATAGAGTATGTAATCTTAAAGCAACAAAAGTAACTTAATGATAGTGAGAACGTCCTTAGTACGAGGGGCGTACTTGCGTTGGATTTAATCGAACACAAAGCACAATGAGCCCTACGTTTTAATAACTAGACCCGACGTGGTGGAATACAGAGGAAAAATAGGGTTGTCACCACCTGCCACTACCATAATCTATTCGTTGATCTAGCCGTACCTACAGGCAAGGTATAGCCTAAGCACCACGCTTAATCTATAAACTCTCTGTTTCGATCCGAGGTCCGATAAAATAAGATTGAAACACCCTAACTAGATGGTAGAACAAGTACTAACGATGAACGAACTAAACACTAAGATAATAATGATGCAAATGCCAAAGGACAAGCACCTAGGCTCACTAATGATATACAAGAGCAAGACAAGACATGAATTAAGCAAAGCTATATTACTGAATAAAGTACTTGACAAAGTAAAGTACTAAATAAAGTAAATGCAAAAGGAAAGATTATAAGAGGAGTTATACCAGACTAGAAGACTCTTCTGGACTCTGAGGCGAGCTCTGCTCTACTCTTATCACTACTAGCTAGCTACTACTTCTAGGCTACTACTCTTGGAGAGCTTCTGAGAGCTTGGAACACATGGAATGCTTGAGAGCCGCCGAGTGATGATCTCCACCGAGCACCACAGCCCCTTTTATAGTGTGTAGAGGGCATAGGGGTACTTGTAGGGGAAGATGAGGCGGTGGAGAGGTGGTGGGGCATCGGCCAACGTTGGCCACAGTTGGCCAACCGTCCATTGCACTACCTCACCATCCAACGGCGATGGATGGCCTCTGGATGGCGGTTGCATGGCAGGTAAGTCGGTTTCCCAGCTGGTGAGGCGGTTGGGAGGTCGGTTTGGGCCTCCCGAGTCAATGACAGTGGACCCAGTGATCCGTGGGAGCTCAACGTCCATCCTTGGATCAAACTGACATGGATCAAGCATGGTGATGGCTCCTGGAGGTGCCACCTTGCATATCACACGGATCAGTGGCGTGGCAGGCTAGGTAGGGCATCGGGCGACGCCACATGACGTCGGCCGATGTGGCCTGTGGGCCCATGGGCCACCTGCCACATCCCATTGCTTCCTATGCTTCATATTTATCCATTTTTATGATTTTTCCTCCATACAAATAATTTTTTCTAAGTACAAGTGGAACTAGGTGAATTATAAACATAATATGGCACATGTGATGTTGTTTTACCTTGATTTGGGTGGAATGTTGATGGTCAGATTAGGTGTTTAGTGATCATCAACAACATCTATGGCCAAGTGACAACCATAGACTACTCTTCTTAATACGCTAGGGTTCGCTAGCACGACAAGGTAGCATAATGATTGTAGACCTTGCTCGTCCTACATAATCACATATTAAATCAAATTTGGGAACAGAGAATGGGTTTAGAAGGTAGCATTCAGTCATTGAAAATTTCAAGTATACCAACAAGATTAAGGAACAGAGAATGAGTTCAGAAGGTTTTCTGCTACATGTTTTCATACTATATTTGGGAAAATTATCTTGCTTTTGTAATAATATAGAAAGGGAAGATCACGTGCCACACATCACGATGCTAACTCAGATAATCAAGCATAGCAGCTCATGTAGGCTGGTGAAGGGGAGAGTTTGTGAGCAAGGCATACCTGTGGTCACCATTTCACTAGCTCATTTATTGTGGTTTAGTCTTTGTGTTTCTCTCACGGTTTGGGACCATCCTCGGAGATCTTTCAACTCTATGGCGGATGGTTCCGAGGATGGTTTGTATCCCAACACCTAAAGGTAGGAACGAAAGTCATTTGTTTGGTAGGGACAATTTATCCTTATCTCCAAATGACCATAGAATAATTGTAATAACATCACATTTTGGTTAGAAAATTCTATAAAAATGCATCACAATAGGTTTTTTTGTTTATAATTATTCCATAAATTACAAATAATTTTAACAAAGTTGTATTATACATTGTTCATAATAGATATATTTCTTAAATAGTTATATGTAAAAATGTGAGAGATGTATTATTTTGAACAATACATAGTTCCACTTTATTAAAATCAATTGATTTTTTATGGAAAACATATGGGCCCAAGATATGTTACCATGTCAAATTGCATAATTTCCTGACCAAATTTAGATATTATTACAATAATTTTTTTTTGTGATTTTGACATAGAAGATTGAATTATCTCTTGTAAACAATTGAATGCTTCATCTATCTCTGGGACAGGAGCTATAGTGAATTGTATGAGCCTAAATATAGTTTTAATGTAATGTTTTCAAATCTTGTTAGAGGCACACGTAGTTCAATTTGGAACTACTTTCAATAAACACGTAGACATTTATTTAAACTATAGAAAATAGTAAATCAGCTCCAAATTTTTTTAAAGCTTCTATGCAACAACATATATAGTCAAATTCATGTAAAAAATGTTTAGGTACATGAAATAATCTTACAATATTACTTCACAAGTACGGAGTAAGCCTAAATTAGTCGAAAATAAAAAAACAGTAAAAGGGTGAACAACCTCAGCCCAAAGGCCCAGCCCAAGGCCTAGTAAGTAGTAACCTCATCTCCAGCAGTCCAACTCAGCTTCGATCGATCGTCGGATCAAATTCGATCATCGAGAATCAACTCGCTTTTCACTCTCGCTGCCTCGCATCTCCCCCACCCCTCCCCATCTCCCATTCACCGATCACCACCACTGAGATCCAGTCCATCCAGCGACTCCCCCGGTCTGGGTGCGCGCAACTCTGCATCAGTCGAGTTCAAAAAAAAAAAAAAAACTCTGCACCGGTCGCTCCAAAGTCCAAACTCCGGATCTCTGGCGGACATCAAGGACGTGCTGCTGGGCCCGGCCACAGTACCTCCGTCTTCTTCGTCCAGCTTTCAGCGGCGCACGCCACCTGTTCGACGGAGCGCATGGCCGAGACCAAAGCGCCTCCCATGGCGAGAGGGGCTGATCGAATCAGTGACCTCCCGGAGGGCGTCCTCCACCACATCCTCTCGCTGCTGCCGGCGCAGGATGCGGTGCGCACGTGCGTTCTCGCCCAGAGCTGGCGCAACCACTGGCGGTCCGCGCCCGCCGTCCGCTTCGCCTGCTCCACCGGCTTGGCCGGCGGCGTCGACACCTTCGGCCCCTTTGTCGACGGCCTGCTGCGCGGCCGCCGCAGGGGCTCGCCCCTGGACCCCTGCGACTTCGATCTGGATCTTGACGGGTCCGACGTCCCAAGATTATAGCTGCACGGCAACTGCTGGATCCGGCGCGTGCTGCAGCTCAAGGTCCGGGAGCTCCGGTTCCAAGTCTCCGCCGACCCTCGGGTTCCCCTCACGTTGGAGTGCAGGCCCCTCTCCTCCCAGCACCTAACGAGCTTGGAGCTCATGGGTGTTCAGGGCAACGACGTCGTTCTTGATTTCTCTGGATGCTCGGCGCTGGAGAGTCTCTGGATGGAGGAGTGCCTCGTTTCTTCGACGGAAATGCACTCCCCCTCCCTGAAGCATCTGAGAATCAAATACTGCTTCTTTTATTCCAACTACCGCACTCGGGTGTGGTTCCCCAACCTCCGCTCGTTCGACTTCATTACTAATTTCGGAAGGGCTCCAATGCTTGAAAGAATGCCATACTTGGAAGCTGCAAAAGTTCGATTTGATCATCATTATGATGATCGATGTAAAAATGGTCGCTTGGATGATTGTGGAAGTGCTGCCTGTAGGGGTTGTTTTAATTACTATGGTCCTGATGATTCCGGCAGCGTGTTTCTTGAAGGCTTGGCTGAAGCTACATACTTGAATTTGTCAGCTTATCCTGATATGGTATGCTTGCATCTGTGTCCCCTGTTTTTGGTTTTGCAATTGTGTTGACATACATAGCTGTGTTTCACTTGTTCCTTTCAAATGCTCTGATTTCAATCAAACATCACCTGTGGTTCGTTGACGAGTGCCTTGCTAGATGCCTATATCATTTGGTCATTACTGAAAATTGTGTTCTTCTGCAGTTACTGATATTGTTGAACTAAAAATGAGAGACCTAGTTATTGATTTGTGGTCTTAGATTCAGAATGCGTTGCTCAGATTAGAAAACAGCAGAATGTTTTTGTATATATTAGTTTAGATGCACCTCTACAAAAGATGCCAGTCTAAACCTTTTTTTTTTTGCTTGCCTTACTAACCAAGATATGATTGAAGCTTGAATTTTTTTTCATGCTATTCATTATTTGACTTTACATCCTTGTACTTTTCCTAGTATGTTTTCAACAGGGATTTGGAATGGTGGCCTGCATTTAACAAGTTAAAGACTTTGGTGCTTAGCAAATGGTTTCTGTCTACTGAGCTCAGTGCACTGATTTGGTTCCTCCACCACACCCCTCTTCTGGAGAAGCTTACACTTAAAATTTCAAAGGTGCTGACATTAACTTGTTACTCTGTACCATGTATCTATCCTTTATTTTTCTTTTGTTTATTAATTGAGTAAATTATTCATACTTAAAATTTCAAAGGTGCTGTCATTAACTTGTTACTCTGTACCATGTATCTATCCTTTATTTTGCTTTTGTTTATTAATTGAGTAAATTATTCATTTGCTTCTGGCACACAAGCCTTTAATGAAAACAGAGGGAAGTTACAATCCATTGGAAAAATCGGTTGCACCTAGCCATCTTCAGATTGTTGAAATCATATGCAAAGATGTTGATGGGATAGTACTCAAAGTTTTGAATGTCTTGAATGCTAATGGCATACCACTGGGGAAAATCAGAATTCAGTGTTCAGGTCGTAAGTTATCTATAAACTGTCATATTCTTTTGTGCAGTTATTAATATGTGTTACAAAACAAAGTGTTATCAGTAATTAAACTATGTGTGTTCTGATTTATCACAATTTACGTTATCGTTGCATTAAGTAGTTGATATTTACAATTTGTGTACATCGTTAGACTATCATTATCATCTGCAACTGTTGTGAATGCCCTTCTGCTTCTACTTATATAATATGCAAGCATTTATGTTGGCAAGCATAGACCTCTATACAGTCCATTTTGATTGAATTTGCTGCCATCAGGTCCTCATTATACAAATAAACATGTATAACCCTGATTCTACATTGAAGATATGCTTCTCCTTCTGTGTCGAAAATATGATTTTTGTCTTGCCATTGTATTTACATTACATCTTGAATGTGTGCCAGTTCATTATATTTGTGCATATATGCTCTTTAGAAACTGGACATATGAAAAACCACATCAATATTGTCTCAACATCATCTAGTTTTCTGATCTTCAAACATACAGGTCCAAGTGTGGCTCTTATTATTAGAGACGACTTTCTGTATTTATGAAATGCTTCACATGTCCAATTTTGTTTAATTAATTTGTACAATTTTTTCTCTCCAGGTTAATTGTTCTTTTCTTTCCCCTTATCTCTTACAGGTTATAATTTTGTGTGTACTGATAACAACTCCAATTAGAAGTGAGAAGTACCTGGCTATTGATGACCCTAGTAGATTGTTAAAGGTAAATGGAACATTGGAACATTTATGCAGTTGTGTTTTCTGACTTTGTCTATTGGAACCTCATGCCCTGTTATGCCAGTGTAGTTTACCTTGCATCACAAATTAGTTGCAATCACATTTGGTTAATGACTTTGCAAGATAAACTTATCCTGTCTTAATTGCATTGTGGATCTTTCTTTGTATCGTTCACTTTTCGAAACATTGTTTTCAGTACCATACCATTCAATGAAATCTATGCAGTTCTGCACCTTTACTGCTACCAAAGATGCCACTGTGAAGTGTTTACCATTCAGTCCATTTGACCATTAAGTATGGCACCTTTTTATTTCCTCTATTTGTCATTGACATTGGTCTGCAGCAACCAGATGCAAAGACTGCCAACAGGTGAACAGTAGTGTCATTGTCAGCTTTTCCATGCGACCGGTCAGATAGACTTCTTTGCTGCTCTGCTTTGATGACTGCCAAGAGACAATGCCCCTACTGGTACAAACCTCGCCTACTTGTTCCTTGATGCACACTGTGTAACATGATGCCTATGAGATGTTTGATCAGGGGATCAGCACTTAATATGTGAATCAATGTCAGTTAGTGTAATATCCGCACATGCATCCCACTATGTATGATTATATATCATGGCTACAATTCCTTGACAGAACTTTTTTCTAGTGAAACATGTTACTTTGTATGATGCATTTAGGTTCCATTGCCGTGCCACATATATGAATACTAAGCAAAGGAGATATATGGTATGTGATCCATCCATAGAGTAATGCATATTACACAGCTACCAAAAATTTCATCATTTTTTGTCATGCGCCTTACATAGCGCTTCTTCTTCACCCAGCAGTAGCAAAGGAGTGATTAGATGGAAAACAAGAGGAAATGGCTAGAGTGGGAAAGTTGCTTACATTGTCTCGGTGGAGTTGTTAACAATATCATGTAGGTGAACGATTTAGATGGTGGAGATGGTCGCTCAGGCGTAATGGGTAGAAGTGATGTGCGATCATGCTTGCTAGTAACTGGATTAACAACCCTTTGGCGACTCTCTCGATTTGTTCTTAGCTGGCACATCTCATCTAGGGCATTTTGCGTGGCAAATTGAGCTAAAGTATACCAGTGAAATATATGTACAAGATGGAGAAATGGTTATTTAAAGTAAAAAATGTTGGATGATACAAGATGAACAGCATTTTCCGGTTGAATCTGAAAGTTTAGGGCCTTTGGAAAATAGGAAATACATGACTCGTGTTGGAATTTCACAGAAAATTTTAGTTCATTTTTTCAGAGTACAAATGCAAGAAACAACAAAAAAAAAAATCGTGTATTCAAAAGGAAGAGTCGGGACCGTCCGAAGTTTGGCCGCACCTGGCCAGGTGCCTTAAAGTGGCCGGGAGCAGTTGGCTTCGGGAGCGTCCATGACCAAAACGTCCTGCGTGTACTTGGAATATGCTTTAAGAGACATGACGAATACGTAATTTGCTGGACGGCCTCTGAATACCCTAAAAATGCGACTGACGAATACCTAACACTGTGGTTACCTAAACCCTTGGATAGCGTAGTAAGAGCGTTAGAGCGTGATTAACCCTCTAACCGACTCTTCTAATCGTTCAAGGCATCTAGGCTACACCCAGCGGATGAGCTCGAAAGCCCTGCTGAACATCAAGGAAAGCTCGTCGGAACCAAGATGACTCAAACAACGGGAGGCCTCGTCGTTCAGGGAAGACGTCTTTAGCCAGGCTAAAGAGCCTGAACTAGGCTCCCCCCAAGCCTAAGCGCTGATGCCCCGAACTATAGATGGCCCGAACTATAGAAGGGCGCGTGTGCGGAGTCAGAACGGAAGGCGGCGGCTGCGTTCTGGGATGGGAAGGGAGTTAAGGTCAGGGTAACTGAGCAAAAGATTATGTATATATTTGATTAGGGTATCAGACTTTTAACGGGCCTATGGTATTTTTCGGGCATGGCCCTGTGCTTCGGACCGTGCCTTGCTCGTGCAAGGCCAAAATGCCGTGCTTTGGGCCGGGTGCCTCGGTGGACATATATACCTCGAACCGACCAAAGTTGGCTCAGCAGCAGTGAGCCACTGCCCACCATCCCGACTGACCCTCCGACTCTGACGACGGTGGGAATCTTCTGGAAGGCGTCAGGATCCTAACAGGTGGGCAGAGTCGCAAGTCCCACGGGAGAGACGCACAGCCGGTGATCCTCCGTCGCATCGGGCGCCGCAGCACTCGCTTCCGATCAATTACGTGCAAGCCTGTTGGCCGCAGGCCGAACACTGGGTATCGACCGGGGACGCCGCTCGTCAACGTGGCTTCACGCGTCGCCGGCAGTCGGGCATTTGATCCGGCAGCGCCCGTGCATAGGAAGAGAAGAGATCATCTAAACATCTACAATAGCTCCACCTATACAACATACGGAGTAGATACAAATTTAAACGAAGAAGATATATGGAAAAGAATATTCCTCGCCCTGCATGTGTTTTGAAAATTTCACTTCACTATGCCGTGATCAGAGTACGAGTGAGCCCTTGTTTAGTTTCACCCAAAATTTAAAAAGTGCTACAGTACCTGTCACATTAAATGTAGACGAAAAAAAATTAATTGCACAGTTTGGTGGGAAATTGCGAGACGAACGTTTTGAGCCTAATTAGTCCATGTTTGAACACTAATTACCAAATAAAAACGAACGTGCTACAATAGCCCCAAATTCCAAATTCCTAGAACTAAACACGCGCTGAATGTGATGGAGCACAGCAAGCTGACACGTCTCCTTACGTCGAAGCATGGGCGTGCCTGATCCACGCTCGCGCTGTCCCATCGTGATCTCGTCGCAATCAACCACCGCACCACCGCCGAAGTCGATTGGTTCACTTGACATGACATGACTTTTTTATTTATCTCCATATAACCTGGTGAATGTAAAAACAAGCGCGGCAGGTGGCATTGGGATTGGAGGGACAGGCGACTCGCGACTCCCGAGGCCGCATGTGCATTCGGCTCGCCGAAGGTGCCCTTGCCCTGGAAAACGCTCGCAGTCAGACTCGCAGTTGCAGGCTGCAGCTGCAGAGTAACGTGGCGAGGACGCGCGACACGCCTTTTCGTTTAGCTGAAAAGTACTGTTCAAACACTATTCTACGATTGTAAAGCTAACAGGTCCTATTTTAAGCCGCTGGAGCATCACAAATCACAATTCACAACGTTGAGACGCTGTGCTACTGCTAGCGCTAGCCGCTAGGTGGTGAGCAAACAGTGCTGTCATCGGTATCCTCAGAATGGCAACCATCAAAATGACAGCAGAACGGGAAAGGAAATGACCCAAGGAAGTAGCTATACTTGGCCATCGGGCCGGCCCGGCTCGGCACAGCACGGGCCCGTGCCAGGCACGGCCCGGAGGATGTCGGGCCGGCACGGCACGTGGGCCTCCCGGGCCGTGCCCAGCCGGGCGTCGTGCCTGACCAAGGGCCCAGGCACGGCCTGCTGGGCCGTTTTTCGGGCCAGGCCGGGCCGGCCCGAGAAGGCACGGCTTGCCAAGCGTGCCAGGCTGGCCCGAGGCCCACAGAGAGAGGGAAGGGGAGAGCAGGAGGCAAAGGCAGCCACGGGGAGCGCCAGCCGCCGCCGACGCGTTCGCCCTGGAGGCTGGATGCGGGGCCGCGCGGGGAGGTAAGGAGGCGGCGGTTGTTGGCGTGCTTGAATCCGCCCATCGCCGTTCGAATCTGGCCGCGGATGTCGTGCGGCGTGCGGGGAAGGTGGAAGAGGCGCATGGGAAGCGGCGGCGCGCCAGCGCACGCTTCGCCACAGTGGGGAGAGGGGCATGCTTGAGGCGGAGGGAGGCGACCAGGCGCTTGACGCCGGATCTGTCGGGGTGAGCGGAGAAGGGAGCAGGGCAGAGCTCGGGGTCGACGTCCCCTAGGTTGGCGCGCTTGCTCCCGAGGAAGCCACTGCGGTCGAGGCCGATTCCCCCGCAGGTGGCGGCGCTTCAGCGCGCGTGGGTGTGTGTGAGCCCCCCATGGGTGGGTGCTTCCGACCTTCCAGCCTGGCGCGTGCATGGCGAGGTGGCGTGGTGGCGAGCAGGTGGGAAACGAGTCCGTGACTCTGAGTGCGGCGCGGGTACGGGGACGGGGCTGCGCCTACGCATTGGGAGGGGGGATTTAGGGTTAGGGCGATGGGCCTTTTTAGCAGGCCATGGCTTGCATCGGGCCGTTGCCGGGCCGGCTGACTCAGGGCGGGCCGTGCCGTGCCAGCCCACGGGCTTGAGCAGCGGCCCAGGCACGGCCTGTTGCCTCGGGCCGGGCCAGCCCGGGCCCGCATGTCACCGGGCCGTGCCGTGCTCGTGTCGGGCTAAAAAAGCGGGCTTCGTACCGTGCCGTCGTGCCTCGAGCTGCATGGCCAAGTATACAAGTAGCACATGTTTTTCTTAGGTATACAGCCAGCACCCCTGCACGGCTGCGCCGCCACCAAGAGTAGCAAAGCCGCATCTTTAGCGCCGCCGTCCGTGTCATCATCCAGAGTCCGCCACGAACACACACGTTCTTATTCCACGCCACACACACACGTTCTTGCCAGGCCCTCCACAGTGGGAGAGGGATGCCAGGAAAAAAGGCGGGTCCCAAAATAAAAATAGGCATCGAAGTCTGAACAGCCGCAGTGGTCAAAATACAGGCACCGGAGCCATCTAACTTGCTGGGACATACTCGCTCTCCCAATTTATTAGTCGTTTTTTTATTTTCGTGCCACAAATTTGACTCGATTTATAGAAAATACGTGTAATATTTGTATCTTTAAATAAATTTATTAAAAATTAGATTCAAAGATCTTTCCAATAATATCAATTATGTATCCTAAATATTAATATTTTTTAATATATATTTCATCAAAATTATTTCTCGAGAAACGAAAGCGACATATATTTTTGCGATGGAGTGAGCAGCAACCGGCAGGAAGCATCAGCACAAGAAAACATTTCTTTTATTATTTAGGCATCACCAAGCATCGGTCCAAGTACTTTCACCGCTCCAGGAATGGCAGGAGCGAAGCTCCAATTCTCTCTCTCTCTCAGGCACCGTGTAAGCAGTGCTGGCCAGGCACCTGAAGAAGAAGCTACTACGTCAAGCTTGCCTACCGGCCCACCACCGCCTTGGCCCAAGAGAGTCAGAGGCCCAGCTCACGAGTTGTTGGCCCAACCTGGATCAACTAGGAGATAGAGTATAAGTAGCAAGAGGAAAGAAAGAGAGGCATGAACAGAAAGTGTAAAACCCTAAATTGAGTTTTAATCATTCATCCGAACACAATTACTATTGTTCTATTCCTTTCTGTTCTTCCTTTCTTCCCGGCACAGTCCAGGTGCTAACAACTGGTATTGGACGTCTCGTTCCCAAATCCTGGCCATCCTGACACCTCCAACCCTCCTCCGCCGCCCCCAACTACGCACCACCACTACACCCGGCTCAATCGTGCTCGCGGCGCCATGGAACCTTCGCTGAAGCAAATCCTCGACGCGCTTAACTCCCGCTTCGACGAGTTCAATCGCCGTCTCGATGACCGCGGCTGCGTCTTCGCCGACCGCACCGGTACCCGTTGACTCGCGCTTCGTCACGCTAGAGACCTCCCTCTCCACCCAGGCCACCGGGCTCGAGCAACGTCTGGCGGGTATCGAGTCTCTCCTGCTAGATCCGACGGCCCCATCCGTCGAGCAGCACCTCACCAACCTCGAAGCGACCCAAGCCGACTACATCCAGTGCCTTACCGACTTGGAGTCCAGCCGCGCCACTGGCGTTAAGGTGGAGTGCGTCCTGTGGGTGGCGGCGCTCGAGAAGGCCTTAGTTGAGATCATAGAGTGGCATCTAGGCATGGAGGGCGTCCTGGACGACATCCAGAAGGACATCCAAAATCTGGTGAAGAACCTCGATCACCAGGTGTTCGACGAATCGTGACACCGCTCGGTCATGCTTCCTTCATCGCCGACGGCGACTGCGTCGGCTTCGGCTACTGGTTCGCACGCCACATCACCCGGTGGGCACCGCTGTCGACATGACTACACGGGATGTTGGGTCCGGAGTCATCATGACTTGGACCCATTTCCCGGCCAATGGTATGTCCCCTGACA